ATCGGGGGACGATGATATTGAGACGATTGACATCTTTCTCGGTGCCTAGGAATGCTAACCCCTCGTGCTTCCGCCAAAAGTAGAAACAACTTCCCATTTTCATTAAACCAGTCCATATAGTTATCCGTAACCATATGACCTGTTTCTGCGTAATATTGTCGAGGGGCCAACTGTGCATACTGGTTCTACTAAAGCGCAATCCAATCTCTGTGTCTCACCACACAGTTAACCTATTTCTTTCCTTGTCTATCTATGTTATGCACGTCATCTAAATTCCTAGGTGCTCCAGGAATATATTGCGTACAACCATACTGACGGAGCACACGATCAACTGGATGCCACTCAATAATAGCATAACATATAAGAGGTATAACCGACATCCAAACCTCTAATGACCCACTAAGGTGGGGTGGGAAGCAAGCATTCACTTCATCGCTCGCATAAGGTATCCATTGAAACTGAAATATAAATATATAATTCAAATAAATAAAATATTCTAATTATATATAGCATTTTAAATTAAAATATTAATATTTAAACAGATGTAAAAACATACCTCAGACCCAGCTTTTGTATCAATAAGTAAACGAATTTCCTCTAACCCAATAGGTATACTTCTATGATTCTTTCTTTTCATCGACCACCTATGAAATATAATATAAGCTAAATATCACCGTATTTAATTAAAAATATTTAAATCAAAATTTAGTTCGAAAACTACCTCAATAATAAGGGGAATATGTATGGTTCATTCACGATCGGGCATAAGAAATGCATGCGGAACCACACCCATGATTGCAGAAGCAGGAGACATCCACCGATAGCAGTTTTCTTATAATTCGTCGCCCGACACATTTCTCTAAAGAGAAATGCCAAAACTGCAACGCCCCAACTATATCTTCCAGTTTCATCAAAATCGATCAGATGCCACAACCACATACAATGCACCTGGTTGCGAGATTTGTCGGGCATCAATATTCCTCCAATTATTCGTAAAATATATGCCCGAGAACATGCCTTTGCTTGATCCTCTGAAGCATTTTCATTTAAAACCTCAAAATTAGCTTTCAACCAAGATAAAATTATACCTCCATTAAACTCTAGCGGAGCAGCTCCAAGATAATCCATGCACATTGACTGCCAAACACCATCCTCCATACCACACATCATATTTCCGTCGACGGGAAGCCCCAGATGCATAGAGACATCCTCCAATGTAATTGTAGCATCTCCACATGGAAGGTGAAAAGTGTGTGTCTCGGGCCTCCACCTCTCAATCAATGCAGAAATTAGGATATGTTCGAGTTTGTAACCGCCAATAATTGTTGCAATATATCCGAACCCAGCAGATGCCAAATATGGCAAAATACGTTCCGGTGTCAGTATACGTGGATTTTTAATAAATGTCTCTAAAATACGATCAGTATTCTAAATAATATGCATTATAAAAAATTAAAATTAATATAAATTCATAATAAATTTAAATTAAACATAATAATAAATATTAACATTAATTATAAAAAAATATTACCATATCGCTAAAATGTCTGGAGATATGATCAGCATCCAATTGCATCAACATTTCACTTTCTATTATAACTGTAGAAAAAAATAATTAGCAAAAAAAATAATTAATTAATAAATTTAAATAAAAAATAATATTTATATAATTATATTAATATAAAATATAATAACTATTTAAAAAAATATTAACTTAAAAATAAATTTCTTACCACTAATAAGAAATTTAAAACTTAAAGATTTGAAGAATTTGAGTTATATAAGAGAGGAGAAGATGATTTTGGTGTGAAGAATGAGGGGGACTGAGGGGGTTTATATAGGGGAGGAGGAGGGGTAGTTTGGGAAAAATCGGATGGGCATTTAAGACATTTAATGAAAGGTGCGTCCCCGAGGATGTGCCTTTCACACGTGGCAACCGAATCAGCAAAACCCCGTGAAAGCGCGTCCCCGTGGATGCGCCTTTCACACGTGGCATCAAACTCAGCGTAAAATCAGGTAAAACGCATCTCCGAGGATGCGCCCTTCGCCACCTCAGTCGAAAGGGTTTCACTTCGAGAAATATATGTCAAACGATGCTAAAAAAAAGATATTCGATTAAACGATGTCAGTTTGATCAAATCGCCTCTTAAACATTCTTTTGAGATTATGATAAGCAATAAAAATATCAATCACTTCATCGTATCTTCGAAAAACTTCCCTCGGTGTATTATGATGCACCTCCTTGCTGACGTTATCGACGAAAACGGAAAAACCCTCTCTCCTTCGGATCTAGCTTCTTCCCTCCACTGCCTGGACTCTTTGATGGTTTTGGCAGGTGACTCGTTAACTGGAGGAAGAATGAAAGTTGAAGTAACATCAGTTAAAAGAAAAAAGCATGGGCCAATAAAAAAGTGACAAATAGCATTTAAACAACTATTTACATAAAATTTAAAGAAAAACAAATTAAATCTAAAAAGCACAACTCACCATCGATTAAAACAAGAAATGGAATATAACAACCTCTCATTCACCTCACCTTCTTGAGAGAAATTTTCCCTTACTGTCTTTAGTTTAGGTACTTAAAAAAAGAGAAAATCGCCTCAGTGACCAAAAATATTTTATAATATACGATTTTAATCAACTTTTTTTGGATTTGCGAAAATGACCAATAAAATCGCAACGCGATATCAAAATCGCAACGCGATTTAGAAAATCGCAACGTTAAAAAGAAAATCGCAACGGTCAAAAGAAAATCGCAACGCGAGCTTCCAAGTTCGCAACGCGATTTAGAAGAAAATCGCAATGCGATTGATAGAATCACAATGCGATTTATAGAATCGCAATGCGATTGAGAGAGTCGCAACGCGATTTAGAAGAAAATCGCAATGCGACTGAGAGAATCGCAATGCGACTGAGAGAATCGCAATGCGATTGAGAGAATCGCAACGCGATTTAGAAAATCGCAACGTTAAAAAGAAAATCGCAACGGTCAAAAGAATAGTTAAAAAAATTTTGTTTCTTAAGAATTTTCTCTAAAAAGATAGTATCCGCGCGGACGTGTCGAAGACACGTATTACCACGACCACGACCACGACCACGACCACGACCACGACCACGACCACGACCACGACCACGACCACGACCACGACCACGACCACGACCACGACCACGACCCGACCCGAGACGAGACGGCGACGGCGGCGGCGCGCGAGAGTCCCCCTTGTCCTCTTTCACTCAACAAGGAAGTGCAAAATACAAGCCTTAAATACCATTCCCAATAGTATTTCCAATACTATGTGGGATTGAGCATTACCAACACTTGTTCCAAATATCATTATTCTTCATAAGTTATCATCCATTACAATATGAATTAGTCGTGTTAATGAACCAATATACCTCATTAATATATGGTATTGTTGAACAAAAGAATGATGATGATGATCTTATTAAAGACCATCTAATACGAAAGAATCCAATGCATAACCGATACCTTATTGTGAAACTAATTCACATAGAGGTTGTACGTGAAAAAAAAATCTTTTACTTTTATAGTAAATATCTATCTCAATAATTTTAATATAAAAAATATATTTTTTATTTAATAATAGAATTATTTCATGTATTTATCAAGTTATAATTTTAAATACTTATTAAAATGAATTAATTTATTATCGATAATTCATATTGTAATGGATGATAAATTATGAAGAATAATGATATTGGGAACAAGTGTTGGTAATGCTCAATCCCACATAGTATTGGAAACACTATTGGGAATTATATTTAAGGCTTGTATTTTGCACTTCCTTGTTGAGTGAAAGAGGACAAGGGGGACTCTCGCGCGCCGCCGCCGCCGCCGTCTCGTGGTCGTGGTCGTGGTCGTGGTCGTGGTCGTGGTCGTGGTCGTGGTAATACGTGTCTTCGACACGTCCGCGCGGATACTATCTTTTTAGAGAAAATTCTTAAGAAACAAATTTTTTTTAACTATTCTTTTGACCGTTGCGATTTTCAACGTTGCGATTCTCTCAGTCGCATTGCGATTTTCTTCTAAATCGCGTTGCGACTCTCTCAATCGCATTGCGATTATATAAATCGCATTGCGATTCTATAAATCGCATTGCGATTCTATCAATTGCATTGCGATTTTCTTCTAAATCGCGTTGCGATTTTCTTTTTAACGTTGCGATTTTCTAAATCGCGTTGCGATTTTGATATCGCGTTGCGATTTTATTGGTCATTTTGGCAAATCCAAAAAAAGTTGGTTAAAATCGTATATTATAAGGTATTTTTGGTCACTGAGGCGATTTTCTCTTAAAAAAATGATATATTTTAAATATTTATTTGTGATATAAGTCAAACTAAAACAAGGTGCACAAAAGCAAACATGAAAAGGATAAAATATATAAATGATCACTAATATCTAATTAATTTCTTATTCTCTCATTTAAATTTTAAAAATAATAAATTGATCGTTAATATTATTGATTTATAATAAATAGATAATTTGACTTTAACAACTATTATCGTGGTGATGAAATATTTATGTGACACGTTAAATCAATTACTTGACACTATTTTATTACAAGTTTAACTCTTAAATTTTTTACTTAAGTTCTTCTTCTTCAAGTGATGAAGATCATAATAAAATATGATAAGCTCACGGTGTAATAGTTGATAGTCGAAAACCACTCTAACTGGAGAAACCTGAACACCTTAAATGTGGATTGTGAACAAACTTTGAAGATTATTTTGTTGAAGTTTTTAAAATGAAGACCCAAGTGATATAATATATAAATATTAAATATTGAATTTATAATATATCAACTAAAATTTTATAAAAAGATAAAGAATAACATCACAATTAATTATCCTAAGTGGACTTTGGAGAATTTTTAAATTAAGAGAGATCCAAGTGGTAGTTTTAACTTTCTAATTTTGATATCTTAAAAAAAAAAGCTTTCTAATTTTGATGATTGGCAGACATTCGTTTCCAAAACATAATCCTGAAAGTTGATTCCTTTTTGTCCCGCGAATTTCCAAAGTCGTCCTCCCAATTCAAGATATCTTCGACTCATTCGAATCTCTACTTTTTTCTGGTGTTTGGATCCAAATTACAGCGCCGCTAGCAGTAACAGCTCATTCCTTTGCAAATTTGTCATTGATTTTCTTCCCCGTTCTCCCCTTTATTTTCTGAAATTTTCTTGGCTTGTTTTAGTTTTAAGAAAAATCCGATCCTCTTATTGTGTTTTGAAATATTTCGGTTTCTCAAATTCCGGGTTTCATTGTTTTTGCTTTAAAAGCGGTTATTCTGGGTTGTAACAATTAAGGGTTTTGCTTAAAAACCCTAGCCTGTCAAATCTAGTTTCATGGTTTTCGTTAAATGGGTGTTGTAATTTTAGGGTTAACATTTTTTCAATTTTATCAATGGGTGCTTTAGCAAGCAATCGTAAACGCGGCGGAGATGAATATTTCAATTCCAATTTCAACCACAAAAAGAAATCCCCGTATTCAAATTCCCTGGATTTTCAGTTTTTCAAAAAACCCAGATTTTCTTTGATGAACCAAAGCCCAGAAAAAGCAATTTTACCTTCCAACAGGACCGTCTTAAGAATTTCTCGTTACCCAGAAGCTAAGACACCTTTCCCTAGAGCAGTCCACGCCCCTGTTAGACATAAAAAATTCAGGTTACCAGCTTCGAGACACGAACAGAATTCTGCTAAAGGTGATATGGGGAATTTCTTGAGTAGTAGATTCAGTAATGTGAAAAGGCAAGCTTGGGATGCTTTGAGCCATTTTAAGAAGGAAAAAGAAGTAATTTTTGTGGAGGATGATGAGAAGAAAGAAAAAGGGGTGGTTACATATGATCTTAGTGTTGAAGAAGTGGAAATCATTGAGAAAGGGAAGAATAATGTGGAAGAAGAGAAGCATTTTCAGCCATCATCTTCATCTGCTGTTTCTGAGTTGAATAATGGGAGTTTGAGGAGAATGGAGAGTTCGTTGGACATGTCTTCATTAAGGAAGATTCCCAATGCGCAAGATGTTGAAGCTTATAGGAAGTTGATGGAAAGTGCAGAGAGGAGAAACCCCAAGTTGAAAGAATTGGAATTTCAAATTGAATTGAATGAGAAGCGCAAAGCTGGACTTGAGGCATTGCGACCCAAAAAGAAACTAGAGGAGGAGCAAGTGGAAGTAAGATTCTTTTGTTTGCTTTGTTCTAATTGTGCTGCATTGTCTTGGTAGTGTATTTTGAACCATTTTGTTGCTTCTAGAATAGAATAAATGGCATTTTTATTTGTTAAGAACGTTTGGCATTAATGTTTTGCTGTTATTGTTTGATCGTTTATTGAATTCCAGGTATTACCTCCCAAGCCATTTTTTCCTCTTACTGAGGAGGAGATTAATTTGGTGTCTGGTGCTTTTTCTGTTAAAAACGGGTATGTAATGATTGTGTTAACACTTGATTATTTGATAGGATGTCACTTGTACTGTAACATTATTGTTTATGCGTGCTTTTGTAGGACAAAGATATTAGTCTCTCACCAAAACTCGAACATTGATATTCGAGTAGAAGTTTTGCAATGTCTGAAACCAGGCGCATGGTTGAATGATGAGGTTGTTTTTGTTTTGTTTATGTTTATATCTTGTGCTGTATATCTGCGTAGGGTAACCTCTGCAGGATTTATTAATTTGTCCACATCAATTAGGTCGTATTGGAATTAAGTGTGCCGGTAATCTGGTTTTAACAGGTGTATTTCTCTTTTATAGGTCATTAATCTATATCTTGAACTACTGAAAGAACGGGAAAACAGGGAACCAAAGAAGTTTCTAAAGTGTCATTTCTTCAGCACTTTCTTCTATAAAAAGGTATTTTCTTGGTTCTTCAAAATTACCGTACTTCACTTTGCTGGTTCATATTAGTCTTTGTAAATATCATTTTCTTAACTACTTTTGCGCTTCTGAATTATGTTGCTCAGTTAGTGAATCTGGACAGTGGCTATAACTATAAAGCTGTCAAAAGATGGACTTCGCGAAGGAAGTTGGGGTACTGCTTATTGGACTGTGATAAAGTAATTATTTATGTCTTTCACTTTGATTCAATCTTTTTTTGTATCTATCGTTAAAATTATTCCATTTTGCTCAGATATTTGTCCCCATACACAAAGACATACATTGGTGCTTGGCAGTTATTAATAAGAAAGATCAGAAATTCCAATACCTGGATTCACTAAAAGGAAAAGATCCCTTCGTGCTGAGAGCACTGGTATGATCTTCTGGGTTTTCTCTTTAAATGTCTTATTATTTTGATGCATTTAATTAATTGATCCAAAGTGCATTATATAGTTTAGATGTTAGAGGATTTGGAGTTTTCGGCCCTGTTAGCTGCTAGAGTCGTTTTCTGTCTACATTTTTACGCTAAATCTTTCTTAACCTATTCACAAAATAGTCGCTTTGTCTTCAAGCACGCCCTTCCTACTCTTCCCTCCTATAAAAAATATTGTCTTAAACAAAGGTCATACTGATTCTTTTGGCACTTCTTTTGAAATTGTCTAATATTAGTTGTAACGTGCCAGGCAAAATACTTTGTTGAAGAAGTGAAGGACAAGAGTGGAGAGAACATCGATATAAGTTCTTGGGAACAAGAATATGTTGATGACCTTCCTTCACAGGAGAATGGGTGTGTATTCTTGTATCTATTGCTGTCACATTTTATGTTGTGCTAGGAATACTTAGTTCTTCATAAGCTTATTGGATAAACAAATAACTTGTGCTGTTAAGTATTCAATTATGTGGTAGCTTTATAGGTATCTGAATCTTTTTATACTAACCATTGATGGCAATTGGTTCCAAATATTTGGTAAGCTGTAATTAACACCTTTTAGTAAAAGGCTTTTACTGCTAGTTTCATGATGTCATGTGCCTTTTCTGTTTGAATTTGAATTGTTTCCCCTAAATAATTTTCTTTTTGTACAGGTTTGATTGTGGCATGTTTATGTTAAAATATATCGACTTTTATAGCAGAGGTTTAAGTCTTTGTTTTGACCAGGTAAATCCATGGGAAGTGATTTATTATACTTGAATTTCACGCTTTATATTGTTCTTTTTTCCTGTGATTAAACACTAGAACTTAAGGCAATTATTATTGGGGTAAAGTACTCAAATGGTCCCTACGTTGCTTTGTTGAGTCTATCGACTATGAAAAATTACAAAATGATCACTCGATTATTTATATGTTTCAAACTCGTCTTTTTCCGTTAAAATTTTGGCGTTCATCTAAGCTGAACATTAACATATGATAAAATCTTATCATATCCCAGTCAGTAGATTAATGTCCAGCTCAGACGACCGTCAATTTTTTTAACGAAAAATGATGAGTTTGGAATATATGAATAGTTGAGAGACCGTTTTGTAATTTTTAATAGATGGAGACTCAACAAAACAAGATCATATAGACGGGACAATGTTATAACTATTAATAATTGGGGATTTAACAAAACAGCGTTTTATAATCGATGATCATTTGTGTACTTTACCCTAATTATGGGGACGTAATGACTATTGTCTATCTGCCAAAATATACGACAAAATGCAGTAGATAGTGATGTTTTCGCATAGTCATTCATCCACTTGAAACACGAGGTCTGCTCATTTGCTTTTGAACTAATTCGTGATTTTCTGTGTTTTGTAGGAACACATGCCATATTTTCGATTAAGGACTGCCAAAGAAATTCTGAAACTGAGAGCTGATTGATTGAAAGTGTGAACGTACTCTGTACAAGGGTATGCCTGCTTTCATAAACTTTTTTGGAAGGCTTTTACTAGTAGCTTTAATGGTGTACAAAAAGCTTACTTCTGATCAAATATTCCAATATAATTACCAAGACAAAGTATTGATACGTTCATATAAAAGGCGAAAGCGGTTAAATATAAATGCAAGCCATTGAGATTTTGTAGGGCAGTAGAACTTTGCTAGAAAGGGCCGTCTGTGATTGGAAGTAATAGGTGCTTTTTGTTTATTTCCACCCCCCCCCCCCAAAGTATTATCCATAAGAATGTTTCTTCTTTCTTCTAAAATCTTCATTTGTCTTGTGTAGGATTTTATGATAGGAGACGAACTTGTAATATTTTGTAAAGACGGAAATAAATTATCAATAAATAATAAAGAATATATCTAAAATGTATTGGAAATTAAAATTTTTAAGAGTCCTTCATTCCATCATCGGATATGTTAACAAGTTGTATTCTATATATATTGGCATGAAAAATAAGAAAAATCATTTTGGTTACATTTAGAAGGTAAAAGGTGAGTTATCATAAGTCCATTTTGAAGACTTATTGAATGGGAAAGCTGAGCTTATTTTAAGCATGTAGATACTTACAAAACGTAAAGGATACATCCTAAGGACTTGATGGAAAGCTACCCAACTACTCACAGTTCAACTAAAATAATTGGTCTATTGTCAAAGTGAAGTCTTAAACCGAGAGAACAACTAAAAGATAATAATAATAATAATGGGCCTATTATTGTCAACAGGATAATAATTCTTTAGCTACACCTGATGATGGTTTCCTACCTACAAGACTAAAACAATGGACCTATTGAGGCAAAGCCCAGCTACAGTTGGTCTAACACTTGACCTTGAAAACACAAGCAAAGTAGAAAAAAATGAAGGTAAGAAAGAGCCACGACTAGGGATCGTCAAGGGTAGGGTCGGGTTGAATTTTCGATCCTTTGATATGATTTGGAAATTATGTATCTACCATCGATTCGAATTTGATATGTTTTTTTAGATTAAATCCAAATTTGATCTGACAAAAAATAATATATTTATTAAAAAATTACTTTTATTCAATAAAAATATATATATATATAATTGAAAAATAAGAGGTATTATTGTAATCATCTCTAAATATATAAAATAAAATTATAATTTTTTGGGGTTGGATCGAGTTAGGTATTTTCCACCCTAAAGTCAAACTCGACTCAATCCAAACATAACCTCTAAATAATAGTTTTTTTAAAATATGATATGATTGGGTCGAAACTCGTTGGGTTCGATTCCCATGTCATCCTTAACCACGATTGAAGATACAATAGAAAGAGAAACACTAATTTTTTTCTACGAATCCTAAATCTAATCCTACTTAAAGAAAATGGACAGAAGGACTCTATGAGAAAAGGAGAGTTCTCCTAGCGGGTCTATAAATCATGACCTAAGAAAATATGATAGAACAAAGATGATCAGTCTGACTAACCGACCAAATATGCTTGCTCAACACTAACTTTAAATAGATAGCCAAGAAGGTTTAAATTTTTAAATATTACTTATGAGGTTATTATAAGATAATATCTATTTATAATATTAATTAGCTATTAACAATATATATATACACTACCGACGCAATTACTCAAACCTAAAATTTTGGGAGGACAACATTCCCTTAATCACTAAATTCACTCAATAAAAATTTTAAAATTTTGAAGTCTAAATAACATATAAGCCTTTGGAAAATTTAAAGTCCAACTACCTCATAGACCTTTTGGCATAATGAGCTTGAATGGAATTATAACAAAAATAGAATAAATATAAACTAAGAAACAATAGGATTTATTAATTGATCGAGTGATTAAAAGTATTTATATTATTTTATCTTATCTTATGTAGATTGACATTTTGATATTTATCATCTTGTGTGGTCAATTAATCGTTGATATAAACAATAAAATACTGTTAGTGTCTTTTATAAATATTTTTATAAAGCTGAATAAAATTAAAACAAAAGATTTTAATGTAATAAAATAATCTAAATATAAATTTATATAGATGTGAAAATATTTTTTTAACAATTTCTAAGTTATTTTTGAACAATTTTTATTTAGAGAGAAGGAAGGAGAGTTTTTACTCAAATTTACGATCTAAAAAAGGGTGTGAAATTAGAATTTCAAAGAGTTTTAAGCGGGAACTGAAACATTTTCAAAGAATTTCAAGTTTTCAACGATAATCACAGACAAAATCATTAGTCCCGAAACAGAGAAAATCATCCAGAGTAAATTTCCAGAAAGTTTGAGCCATGGAAGAGACCATAGCAAGAATCCTAACAGAGCTCGAAGAAATCAATCAAACCCAATCTCCACTCATTTCTCCATCTACTCTATTAGATCTTCAATCCCTCTTATCCACCAACGACCCATATTTCATCTCCCAATTCTTCGATGACCTCCCTTCCAAAACCCTTTCTCCTTCTTCACTCACCAACCTCTTATCTTTAACAATGGATTCCTACCCTTCCCATTATCTCTTAGCTTCTAAAGTTTACCTCTCTCTTCTCCTTTCCCCGAATTCCCCTGTCTTCACTTTATTCACTCCCATTTCCTTCTTTTCTCTCCTCCGTTCCCTCCGTCGCGCCTTCAAAAACCGTGCTTCGTCCCAACCTGAGGAGTCTCCCCCTCCCAACGCGCCGTCGAATAAGAAGAGAAAGTGTGCGGGTAAGGGCCGTGGAGCACGGGGTAACGTTAGAAGTTCGGGAGATTGTAATGAGGAAATAAGTGATTGTTCTGATATTAAACATGTGTTTACTGTGTTTGAAATGTTGGTTTCCGTTTTGGGTTTGATTCATTTGGATAGGTTTCCTGATAGTTTGAAGTCGTTGGTACAAACTATATGTGAAATTCCTATGATGGCAATGGAAAAGATTGGGAATTCTGGTAGCTTCAATCGGTTAATGGGTTTGTGTTCGCTGGTCTTGAGCGGAGTGTTGAGACCTGAACATGGAGAGATAGCTAATACTGCAGCTGAGGTCTTGAAAGCTCTATCACCGTTGATATTAATGGTTAAATCGCAAGCAAGAAGTTTTGCATTGGTGTTTGTGACTCAGAGGATGATGGAATTGGGAAATGAGAGTGATGGTGTTAAGAAAGCTGTTGTTAATTTCCCTAGGTATTTGGTTCAAAAGGCACCCGAGAAGGCGGAGCTGCGAGCTTTGGCAGTGGATTCAATAATGGAGGTTGTTAAAGTGATGGACTTTGAGGATCAAATAGGATATGTGGACTATGTCTTGAAGATGACTCACGGGAAGGCTAATCTTAGGCTGTTAGGTGTTGATCTTATTGCAGTGATGTTAATGTCATTATGGGATCCTTTTGGGGTGGATTCAGAAGTTAAAACCAGAGATTATTGGGGGATAACGTGTTTGGAAGCTTTGGTTATGAGATGTTCGGATTTGAGCTCCGGCATTTGTGCTTGAGCCCTCTCAAGCAGGGTTTCAAAAAACGGTCCCTGACCGCGATTTCGTCCGCGATATAACGGTTTTCGCCGTTGTCCGAGCTACCCGCAACAGTCGCAATAGCGTCAGCGATGACCGTAATAGCGTTCGCGACGGCCGCACGGTAAATCCGAAATAACTGAAAACGCGACCGTGATTTGAAACCTTGCTCTCAAGCTTGGCACAAGTTGTGGGGTTTTTGTCTAGTGATGATAGGAGTAAAGGTGTTTTGAAGGAAGTAATGGGATTAGCTGAAGGTGGAGAGGAGAGGCCACATTTTAGAATGAATGATCTTTTGAGGGATAGGTGTATGGATGAAAAGGCAACTGTAAGGAAGGTGAAGATACAATTTTTTTCCTATTTGTTTTTATTTATTATTTATTTATTTATTTATTATATTTAATATTATATTATTATTATTATTATTATTATCATTTTATTATTATAATTTATTATTATTATTATTAATATTATTGTTATTACAGGCTAAATAGTCCGGCCCAGATCTTGAGACCTAACCCAGATGCAAAGGAAACCCTAGGGTTTCAACATCTTCATCCAGCCTCTTCTATCTTTCCACTGTTGGATCTGACTTGATCCAACGACCCAGATGGCTCCAGACAAAACCTTAGGGTATCATTACCCTAGGGCCATACGACCGTTGCAGTTACTCCCACCATCTCCACCGCTGCCACGCCTCGTCGAAAGTTTCCAGAAGAGCCACTCCAGTTGCACACATGTCGCCCCCAACGGTGAGTCACAACTGGAAGTTTGGTGACTCACCAAACTCTACTCTTTTACCCGGTCTGAAGCAAGCGTCGATGATGGTTATAAAACCATCGATTGAATCACCTGCAAAAGAGACGAAGAACGAGGAGGAAAAATAAAGATCCAACAGCAACAAAAACCACCCAAAAATCGAAACAAAAAGAAAAGAGAAGTCTTACCGAGGAAGCTGCAACGCTACCGGAGCCTTCACATATCACCGGAAACCTTCGAAAACAGAAGGTATCTTCCTAGATCTGCTCTAATTGGGGGCTATTTAAGAAAAAGGGTTACCGGAATCGTCGTTAGGACGGTCCGATCTACATTTTGGTGTAATATTATATTTTTTCGACTACCGGAGGCGGTGGTCGGCGGTAGGATTAGCGGCGGTGATCGGCGCCAGATTCCTTCCGGCGAGGGAATACCACAGAAGGTAAAGAGAGTTCTCATCTCTAACAAATAGAGAGAGAATGAGAAATGGAAACAAATGAAAAATGGCCTTAGGCCGAATGGGTTACGGGTATAAATACCCTCACCAAAACGACATAGTTTTGGTGAGGGCCTCAGTGTAATTTCGAATAGGGTTTAACCTTTTCCGCTACCCCTTGTAACTTTGTAACATTACATTTTAGTCACTTTAATCAAGCTTCAAACCTTTTAATTCGAACTCTTAATGTTATTTCTTTATAATTTAGTCACTGACATAAATATTTTAGACAAATAACTGATTTAGTCCTTTAATTCTAATTAATTTTATTTTAATCCCGAATACATGTTTTAAATTTATTTTAATTTGATATAATTTTAATCTAGTCACTAAATTAATAAATAGGTAAAATAGCATGCTTAGCCCTTGTAATATTAAATAATTAATTGCAAATTAGATTATTTAATTTTAAAATGTTATAATTTAGTCACTAATTTTAATACTTTAAGTTAATTACTAGTTTTTTATTTATAGTTTTAATTTCATTATTTTTAGTTATTGTTTTATATTATTATTATTATTAT